TTGTAATTTGTTACATTTTTCAAGGTAACGCAATGCAGCGTACCTTGAATCAGGGGCCTAACTTGTCGCTGGTGCCCTGGGAATGTAGGTGCCACGTGACTATTACTAGCCACAGTCACGCGAGCGAGCGAGAGGAGGTATATTTGATGCGGTGTGCCGGGTGCGGGAAACATTTCCCACATAGGTGATCTGGGCAAACCCGGTTTAAAATCAAGCCCTGCAGATGTCCATCTCTGCCATTAACTCCGCACTGTTGTCTCAATCAGTAGCGCAGTGTACTTGGCATGGCCCCCGTGTTGCAAGATGTTCTCTACCTTACATGGTATACAGGAGGCAGTGGGTTCAAGCCTGACCGACCCTGATGCCTTTTATATTTCGAGTTTTTGCATGTCTCTCTCCCAGTGGTCCCATGGATTTTTCTCCGGGTCCTCTGGTTTTCCCCTCCGCGTTTAGAATCATCATCATGCGTTTGGAGTTATTTGGCTGCTATACATTTCCACGTGATAAGCCGCTTCGTTGAGCTTTCATTTGTGGCCAGGTCGCTTCTTAAAAATAGCTATAAAAAATTGAATAGTTTTATAAATAGTTTATAGCTTTTGTAGTTTATAGCTTTTGTAGTTTATAAGGAATTTAATCGGGCGCCCTTTTCCCAAACTTTTCTCTTTTTATCCCCCCCACCACCACCAGCCCCCACCTCCCTGATCCGTTGGCCCCGGGGCAGTTACACCGCCTGCACACTCGATAACGAAGTTTGCTGCGTCTCAACGCTGTCGCAGTTCCCTGGTTGGCGTTCTGGGAATTGTAGGGGGTTTGAAATGCAAGGTTTAATCTCGCCGGATCAGCACAGCCAAGATGACAATTGCCCGCATCCCCGGCCAATCCTCGGGGGGGGGAATTATTACTGCCACCTTTTCCTGGTTTTCCCAGGATCGTTCTACTTGTTGCCGGCAGCCGCTGCCCTTGGAAATCTGCAAGTCGTCCTGGGTCATTGAAGTCCTGGTTCTTATTTTTTGTCAGCCGGCATAAACGATGAACCGCTCGAAGCAACGCGTTCACACGTCGCGCTCTCCCCTATTCCGATACCACGAGACATTCCCCCCCCCCCTCCTGTCGCGGATGTTCCACCTCCTCCTCGCCACGACGTGTTCACGTTTCCTATAGCGGCACAGGTGGTAGCCCTGTACTCGGGGGTGGGGGGCGGGGGGGTGGTGTTGAGAGACGGAGCCGCGGGAGCAATTCCTGCGTCGCCAAGTTGCCGAGGAATGCCTGGTGATGTGTTTAGAACGGAGCCTGCGAGGTGGCCAGGAGATGGCAGCATAGCGAGTAGATCCTTGCATCTATCTGTGCGGAGATTTAATCGTTATCTAATCGTTATCGTCCTCAAATGCTTGGTTTCCTCCCACACGCAAAGCCAAGCTCCCACTGATGGAAGTGTCTAAACATCTGAGTGTAGCAGGAATCTCCTTTTTAAAATGAGTATTGAGACTCGAGTTCGGCTTTTCTTGATTAAATTATGAGCATTAAAAAAAGAAATGGTCCCCCAGATATATTTTTGGCATGGTGGGTAGGGGGGTGGGGAGAAAATATCTCCAGGGCCTATGACCAAATTGCTTGGAATGCACCCACATTTCTGAAGCTAAGCAGGGGTGAGCCTGGACGGTTCCTTGATAGGCAACCATTATGCACAGAACACGTACTGAGGGCTACTACTGTGGGGCTACGTTGTCAGCAGAGGGCATTGGGGCAAAATCCAGTGCGGTACTGGCGGGTGCCGTGGTTAGTGTGCTGTACACGTGCAGGGGGGGTGGGGGTGGGCGTTCGCTCTTGATCGAGAAACACAGCGGTCAGTTTCATGTTCTTAGCAATTCACCAGTGAGTTGCAGCCAACTTATTGCGAGACAGGTGCTGCTGCGGCACGCCCACAGCTTTGATTGCCAAGATCACACCCCACGGACGCAGCCGATCACGATGGAAAAAAAATCGTGTGGTCTCGTTAAAAACTTCACAGCGAAACAGTTGAACCCCGGAGAGCCCACAGATTAGATACAGATTTTCCCCCAAATAATAATAATAATATATTTGTTGGTGAATATTACAATCCCGAAGATCATCATCGTTCCATTGGCGCTGACGCGTTGCGTAAAATTCACATTCAGAAAACGGTCCAGCTACTACGATGGTCACGTGGTGTAAAGCTCGCAAGCGTCGGAGGCCACGTGGCAGTGGTAGAGAGATTTATCCACAATCCTATTGACGGGACAATCGTGTTCTCGGTGCATAGCAGGCTGGGTGGCGGTGGGCGGCGTGGTGATTTCCCCGGTCACACCTCACCATTAGCGATGCACATCTTTATCAGTTATTTAAGATAATTGCGTAATCGGGTTAGTATAACCCAATTACTCATCGTGTATATAATTTAAATACTGTGGCAGGGCCATGCTTAGCATGTGGTACGATGATTCCAGCACCTGGAGTAATTTCCATTGGGAATAAAAGTGTTCCTCTGGATGAGGCTCCATTAGGAAGCCACTGGAGCTAAGCACTTTTCAATCTAAATTGAAAACTCATTTCTTTAGAACTGCTTTATGTGTTTAGTTTATCCCCCCCCCCCCCACGCACCTTCAATTAGCACGGTTGGCTACGTACGGTGCGAGAGAAGGTCAGAGGTCAGCACATATAGGAAAGTTCAACGTATGCATGTATGTTGAACTTCTTTCGCACCATACGTAGCCAACTTGTTCGCAGGGCTCCGCGCGTTGCTGCACGGCGTCGAAACAACAGCGTCGGTGGCTGCTGCAGCAGCAGCAAACGGGGATGGGGGGGGGGGCTAAATATCGAGCCACCGTAAAGAAACAAAAACCTCATTACACAGAACATTAAGCAAATAAAATAAAGCATTAATCCGCGTCGAGATTAAAACGGATCCCAGCAATATACGTTGCCAACGAGGTGTGAGAGGTTCTGGTTTAACGGCACCTCTCTCCGCGTAGCCACTGCGAGATGCGCTTGCGACCCTTGCGTGCATTTTTTTTATTTGGTTTGTTTTAACCGGGCGGCGAGAACTCAAGAGACCCGGGATGAGTCTCTCTTTTTCCCAAGTGGTGACCTGGGGCATCGGGCCAGCCGGTATTAGTAGCGATGTCGGTTTTGTCAATTAAATCACTTGCGAGAAATGTATTTTTCAAAGAAAAAACTAAGATTGGCAAATGTAGACTGCCGCGCCGGGAGAATGAATCGAACCGTGTCTGGCGACGTCTGGCTTGTAAGTCTGGCGTGTTCACCCTCGGGCTGTTGCACCACGGCAGCGGCCCGGAGTCGACGTGCATTCGTGTCCAAGGTTCAACTTTCAAGTTGATTTTGTTTGACCAGGTGAGCACAGACCAGGATGAGTCTCATTTGCAAGGAGTGACCTGGGGCATCGGTCTGCCAGTAGGGGGTGGGAGCAGTGATTGCCGCCGTGTGTAGAATCTCACGTGAGTGATTTTGCGGGGTAATTTTCGAATTTGGCAACTTGAACCCTGACACAGGCACACGATGGCCCACTCTAGCGAATGACATCGGGGGATATTTAACGTCCGCTTTGAAGCAGACGGCGCATGCTTTCATCACGGCTACTACACACCGCAGTAATAATCGGGGTGGCCGCTGCATTCCAACGACCACAACAGGTCGAATATGCTCTACCGCTGGGGTCGTGTCACCGCCCAGGAGCTATCTGGGGTGGGTGGAGCGAAACGTCAGACGATGTCGCCTCTATTGCATCCACATTGTTGTCCGACGTGCCTATGAACTTGTCCGTACGATTATAGTAACGCAGGGCACAATATTACAAGACGGATAGGCGTGCCGTGCACTCTCGTGGTCTTGCCTAGCGCCAATAATCCCTACGTCCGAGGCAGCCTGTGGCAGCGCATCCGGAAAATAATCGATTTGCGACGATGCGTTTTTAAGCCTCCCGGCTGCTTCCAACGCGCTTCCCGCCAAAACACGCGCCCCGAGCTGTTGGCGTTTGTGGGAGCCTCGCGGCGAGATTCGAGGGAGATAAATAATGAACAATGGAGATGATTTCACGGTGCGGAGGGCGCTGATTGAATTTGGTGAGCGGGGGGGGGGCGCGTGAGCCCTCCCCCCTCCCCTGCCCCCGGCCCGATTTATGGCAGAGCGCAGCCCCGCGGCAAATGATCGCATCTCCCGACAGCCCAATGGCGATCGCTCGCCCGCTACATTTAATTGTCAATGTGCCGCTCGGGCTAACGATTTGCGCTGCGTGGGGTGCGGGGGGTGGGTGGGGAGGGGGTAGATACATTTGGAGCAATGACCGTGGGGAATGTAAAAGATTCACTCGCTCGTCGTTAACGCAGGATGAAGACAGCGGCCGCTGAAATCGTAGGAGCAGGTGACCCGAAACAACAACAACAACGGTAGTAATAAGAGTGATTATACACGCAGGCGCTGAAGGCCAGCCAAAGCTGGACGTGGCTGAGTTGCAGAAAATATTCCTCTCACTGCCAGTAAAACATTCTATGGGGCCCTGTGTACACTTAGAGCCCTGTTGTCATGCCACTGCTGGATGACGCCCCCCTCCAACCACCCACCCACGGCTGTGGGATCTAGGAGTAAAATGAAAGTCCTGTTCTGAATTAACAGAGCTTCAGGCTCATGTCAACAACAACAACAATAACCACCACCACAACAACAACCGCCGCCGTTCGCCACTGAGCGGCGGTGACGTCACCGCGGCGCTTGAGGCCACGTGCAGTGTCCAAGGTTTGCTGGCAGGAGGTCACGGGACAGGCGCCATGGGTTGACTGACTGAGATGACTGGCAGATGCACCACGGACTCGTGCCGGAGAGTGCCGTGCGTTGGCGTCGTCGTCGCAGCTGACGAGGTGGCGGCGTTTGTTGCTGTTGCCGTAGATGACGAGGTGGCCCCCGTGTTGTTGCTAACGAGGTGGTGGCGGCGTGCGTGTGTGTTTGTGTTTTTGTCGCCGTCGTCGCAGATGACGAGGTGGCGGGGTACCAGCGCGAGCTGCAGTCGGTGCACGAGCGGCTGCTGCTGCTGGAGACGAAGAGTGCCCAGCGCTCGCGCGAGCTCGCCTCCGTGCTGCACGGCCTGCAGCGCGGCAACCGCAGCAACGACGGTGCGACATCCTCCTCCTCCTCCGCAGCAGCAGCAGTAGCAGCAGAATCATTATGAGCGGCAGAATCATTATCAGCGGCAGAATCGTCATCGGCAGAATCAACATCATTGTCAGCGGAATGAATGTCCTTGTCAGCAGCAAAATCATCATCAGCAGCAGTAATGGCATCATTGCCGTCATCAGCATCCATAGTATAATTATCAGCATCATCAGCAAGAACCATAGCAGCAACAGCATCATCATCACCTTCACCACTGGCACTAACAACCCCTCTCACTTCCACCATCGCCATAAAAGCCACCACAACCACGACCACCTCCCTCGCCACCCTCGCCACTACCAAAGCTGACACGGCCACCGCCGCCTCTCTCCCCACCCCCGCCACGCACCGCTCGGTGACCACCGCTCCCCTGCCGCTCGGTGACCACCGCTCCCCTGCCGCTCGGTGACCACCGCTCCCCTGCCGCTCCGCCGTGCAGGTGCGGCGAAGCGAGAGAAGCGCGTGCCGCTGGTCGGCGGCGGCGGCGTTGCCGTGGTCCCCAGCGTCAGCGGCGGCAGCCGCGGCACCGCAGCCCCCCGCGAGGCGGAGGGGCCCATGGGCGGAATCTTCTACTACCTCCCTCACCTGCTGCTGTTGCCGGGCCGCGGCCTCGCACCGGCCGTGCACCTCACGCAGGGCCGCATGGGTGGTAAGGAACCGCGGGGGCCGGTGGGGGATCTCGGGGGGGAAAGGGGGGGGGGGGGTGGTATTTACTCATCCCCATACTCTACCCACACCCCCCCTCCCCTTTCTCGCAAGACCCCGACATTCTTGCCCTGGTTTCCCCTCGCTCCGTGCGGCTCTCGGTCTGTGCGCTCTTCGCGCTGCTGTGTACGCGGCCAAGCGTATTTTTGTCCCCACAAATCGCGCTACGCAACGCGGTCTGAATTCGCTCCGCACGCGCCTGCGCGGCTGGACGCGGCACAAGGTTGGGCGTGCGCTGTGCGCGCGTGTCTCTCGCCTGCACGATGGACACGGCGCTGCTTAAGCCAGACGGTGCGCGCCCGGCGGCAAATCGGATCTCGTCGCCCGCCACGAGCGTTCTCAACTCTCTTGCCGGGTTTTCTATTTTCGGTCGTGAAACCTGTGAGGGGTGTAGAGCAGAAAGAGAAGGGAAGGGGGAACAAAAAAAAAACCGCGTAAAATAATCTCGACGGATAGCAACGCGATGTCATCTCGCTCCGGCTCTTGGAGAAAGTGAGATGAGCGGACGTTGAGAGAGACGGAGGAGGAGGTCATGCGAGTTTGTGTGCACGTTGAAACGAATCTAGTTGGCAGCGGCGCACGAAGCACAGCGAACACGGCAACACAATATGCCGACGGGCTGTTTACCACAACGGTTGCCTATCATTTATTTTACTTTTAAGGTGTTCTTGGCGTGTGTGTGGTGAGATGATAAAGACGGCCGGGCGTGGCGTTGGCCACCCACCTCGACTTCTGCTGAGCTGGCCATCGCATGCCAAAACAGCACTTGCTAACAACAGGCTGAAAGGCTGTATGGGGGGTGGGGGGGGGGATGGTCTGTCTAGGTCTATGTGTCTGTGTGTGATTTATCCACGTATGTGCATCCGTGTGAGTGATAGGGAGTGGGTTTGTTAAGTTGCTCACTTCATCCAGCGGGCACTCGCCACCCTTCCCGATCGATGCAGTGCGGGGAGGCACGTCGACTGTGGATGCTGCATTCACCCTGACGATGATGACGACGACGACGATGATGATGATATTATTTAATAAACGGTGATATTATTTATTGAATGATGACGATTGATGATATTATTTCATGAATGACGGTGATGGTTCGGGTGATGATAACAGTATGATTTATGGTGTCGCATGTACAAATATATAGGAGCACAGCGCCTTCCAGTTTGTCTGCGGTGCCTCGATGATTGTGCGATGCAATTTGCTTAAGCGATGATGGCCATATAAAACTAAACACAATTATTACAACAATTTAATTGGCTCTCCACTTAATGCGACTAATCACAATGCCTAGCATAACAAAAAAATATCTAAATATACATTTATAAATGTGGACTATCGCGCCGTCACGTGACGAACATTACTCTCAGTTAAAGGGCGGGTGGGAAAGTGCTGTCCCCTAACCGTGTGAACGAGATGTCGTCTGAAGGGATCCTCGGAGGTAGCTCTTTGGTATCCGCCGCTGTGGGTTCCCCTCTATAACACGGAAGGGCCGCACTGCCCTTGCGAGAGTCCCCCGGTGGGTGGCGAAAGTCTCCACCGCTCCATCGCAATCAGCTGATTTGCCACCATGCACGGATGCTGCCGTGCATTGTGGCCGGTTCGGTTCAATCTCCCGGCGCGGCAGTGTAAACGACGGGGCAAGTGACTTAAATAACACTCCCTCTGCCCCGCCCCCCTCCCCCCCAAACCACGGACAGCCTCTGTCCACGCAAATGGATGCACCGCGGTTAGTCCATCGGCATGTGTCGTGTATGGTGGGGTAAAATGTGGGTAAATCCCACCTCTTCAAAGACGTGTGCCCAGTGTGGTTCAGTCGACCAGCATGACCTCCTGAGCACCCCCTCCAGCGCTCCCTCGCGTGCTAAAGGCCCCTTCTGTGTCAGCAGTGCCGCGAGCAGACGGTTCCAGCGCTGCGCCGTTGCTCGCAGCTGGGCGGCGACGTGGCCCAGCGGCAGCGCGGTTCCCGCCGCTCGTTGCCGCAGGAGGCTCACGGTTCGAATCCAGCGGCGGCCCTGGCGAATACAGCGGCGTGGAGTTACCGCAACAATGCAAACACGGTGCCGTCTGGCTTCACTCGCTAGCGGACGTTAAGGAGCCCGCGACGTCATTCGCAAGAGCAGGCCGCCGTGTGCCCGGCGTCGTGGTCTCCACACTTGGGCAAATAGAATAATGAAAAAAAAACACCCGAAAAATGACTCGATTGGAATTGCAAAAAGCGATCATCGCCCTCCCTCACCGCCTGGACTCTGTACATTTTGCGGGACCCTCCTGAAAAAAAAGAGTCGTCAGACTCAGCGGGGCTTTCGTGGGCAGACGAGCGGCGTTAGCAGTCGTAGTAGTAGTGGTATTAATGATGAAAGCCGAGTGCCGCGGACGCAGAGTTTGCCGACTCGCTGGCGGAGGAGAGGAGATGATGAGTGTGCGAGAGAGAGAGAGCGAGAGAGACTTGTCACGGCGTCATGGAGTCTGTAACGGTGTCTCAATTAGCGCGCCCCCTAGCCCTGACGCGCCGCGCTAACCCTGTCGCCGTCGGTCTTTCTGTCGGGAGATTTTTTTTTATTATTCGTGGAAATAGAAAAAAAAGCGATAACAACTCGGTCTTGTCAATGCAGAATCGTGCGTGGATCATTGAGCGTAATAACTGACGCGTGTCATATTTATTTTCTCTTCCGTGGTGTTTGTAACAGCAACAACGACACCACCAACAACAACAACAAAAACACCAGGGGATGTAAATGTGCGTTTTTAACGCTCTAAGCCATTTCACGGCAGCATCCGGGGGTGGCTGCCGTCTGGAGCAGTCCGCTCGTTCCACCAGAAAGACGCGCGTTGGATTTTGGGGTAGCCGAGTGATGAATATCTGAACAGGTCCTTGGGTCCTCCTGGGTCAGCTCGGTCTGAGATGAGTTTACCCGGTGCGATGTGTCAACATCTCCACTGGGGAGACAAAGGCGGCCTGGCGTGGTGCTGGCCACCCATCCCCTCGTGTGCCGTGCCGGCCTTCGTAGGTGCTCGCTAACAGCACTTGCCCCAACAGTCTGTTAAGGCTACACGGGGGATCTTTGTCTTTTGTGTGTACGTGGCGTGCGCGTGCGTCTGTGAATCTACACGCGTGCATACGCATGTGTTCATATGCGTGCGTATCTCGTATTTTAAATGCGATTCAACAATTCCATTCTTCACTCCGGATCTGCCAGCCTTGGCCCGGTCCTCGTTTTTGCTCTCATATTTATCACTCGCCCCTCGCCTGCATTTAAAACCCGCTCCTTTCATCCTCCGCTCGGCTCCCATCCATCCATCTCCCTCCTCTCCCCCACCCCCTCTCTGCACGCACTCCCCCTGCCTCCTCCCCGCTCCTCCTTCCGCTCATCCCCGAGTCATTCCTCTCTTCTCACCTCACCCCTCACCTCGCCACCATAAAATTCCTGCTACCACCATCAGCAGCAGCAGCAGCCACGATCAATACATTTACAACAATGGAACGGCTAGACTGAGATGACCCGGAGAGAGTTTCACTATATACACTGGAAGGACAAAGTGATGCGCTTTCACTAATTATCCATCTCCCTTTGCCCCCTTGTCCCCCCCCCCCAAAGAAAATATAATACCGTCATCACCATCTTATCATGCCCCCTGCCCCCCACAGTAGATCATATCTCCCCCCTTCCACGAACCTCCCCCCCTTTCCATTTGTCAGCTCCACACACGAACGGTTCACCCACAACATCCTCCACGTGATGCGTGGTGACCTTGTTGTCGCCGTGACCTTGTTGTCGCCGTGACCTTGTAGCAGCCGTGATCTTGTCGCCGCCGTGACCTTGTAGCAGCTGTGACCTTGTCGCCACCGTGACCTTGTAGCAGCCGTGACCTTGTCGCCACCGTGACCTTGTCGCCACCGTGACCTTGTAGCGGCCGTGACCTTGTCGCCGCCGTGACCTTGTAGCAGCTGTGACCTTGCAGCAGCCGTGACCTTGTAGCAGCCGTGACCTTGTCGCCACCGTGACCTTGTAGCAGCCGTGACCTTGTCGCCACCGTGACCTTGTCGCCACCGTGACCTTGTCGCCACCGTGACCTTGTAGCGGCCGTGACCTTGTAGCAGCCGTGACCTTGTCGCCACCGTAACCTTGTAGCAGCCGTGACCTTGTCGCCACCGTGACCTTGTAGCAGCCGTGACCTTGTAGCAGCCGTGACCTTGTCGCCACCGTGACCTTGTAGCAGCCGTGACCTTGTAGCAGCCGTGACCTTGTAGCCGCGGCCACGCGTGAGTGACGCGGAGTCCAGCGATGCTCTCGAGGGAGTGGGGAGCTGCCATTGAACACAACTACAGTGAAGTCTGTGCTCATCGCAAGAAGAAAAAAAAATGTTGGGGAAATGTTTGGTCCCACGGTATTGGGCGTGAGGCGGGGGGCACTGTGGAGTGGTGTGTGGGATGGGACGGTGTTGTGTTGTTGTTGCACTATGATGATGTGGGGTGGTATGCTGCGTGGTGCAGTGTCGGTGGTGCTGGGCGTACCGACGGTGAGGCGCGCTGTGCAGACCTACCTGATGGACACCCTCGCGTCGCTCACCCAGGAGCTCTCGCCCAACGAAAAGAGGGACTGCCTCATCATCGTCTTCATCGCAGAGGTGCGTCCCTCGCGGGGTCCCACCACCACCTCCGCGGCACACAGCACGACCACACCCCGCCACGACGCAACACGGAGCACACCAGTTATTACATAAAATACCAACACACGCTGGTAAATGCAGCATTCTATTATGCACCGGACGACACGCCACTCGACACACGGCGAATGGCACGAGCGTGAAAAAGAACCCCAACACCACACAAACACACAACCCGCTCCAACACACCAAGTAACACACCGACCAACCACACCACACGCCACCCACGACACCAGTAGAGCAACATGCCGTGCAGGACACACGGCGCGCCACCCTTAATAGATGCCCGCTAAGGCGGCCTTGATGACGGGGGGGGGGGGGGGGCGGTGGTCCAAGGACCCCCCCCCCTCTCCTCCTCATCCAAAAACAAATCGCAACAATGACAAGGGACCTCCTCAGGTACCCACAGCGGTGGCAGCAGCAGCCGTCTGTTATGTAAATGGCGTTTACCCTAAACGTGTTTAGTTTGTTTCCCACGCTTTCCAACACAAAGGTGTAAAGCAGCGTTGATGCTGCATTGAGCTGTGTCCGTCCGCGTGTAACGAGGGGGTCACGATCGCTCTGGTGCGAATGATTGAATGAGACTGACGCTTGAGTGTAGAGTTGTGTTGCTGGTCAGGACTAACACCCCCCCCCCCCTCCCACCCCCCCTGGAGAAACCCGGCCGCATTGATCAAAGGGTTGCACTAAACCTGGAGACAAATCGGTGCTAAAAGGATTCGCCAATTCGCACAGTGGCACGCCGATGCGGCGTGTAACGTCATCGCGCGACGCGGCTTGACACGTGAAGGTCAGAATTAAATACTGCTGAGAAGAAGCCGACGTTGGCAAGCGTCGTGGATGGAGCAGGGAGTCGTGAGCACAGATGGCAGGGGAGAGAAGGGAGTTCTATAGATTGAGGGCAGCGCAGGAGAGAGTGACCTCCCCACTCAGCGAAGGTTGACTGAGACCTTCGAGAGGAGCGCCTTTGCTTTCGGAGCAGAGTGGAGTAGAGGGGAGAGGTAGAAGAGTGCGTGGAGGGGAGTAGAGTGAGGTGAGAGGTAGGAGAGTGTGTGGAGGGGAGTAGAGTGATTTGAGAGGGGAGAGGTAGGAGAGTGCGTGGAGTGGAATGAGATGGCAGGGGAGAGGTAGGAGAGTGCGTGGAGAGGAGTAGAGTGAGATGAGAGGGGAGAGGTAGGAGAGTGGGTGGAGGGGAGTGGAGTGATATGAGAGGGGAGAGGTAGGAGAGTGCGTGGAGGGGAGTAGAGTGAGGTGAGAGGGGAGAGGTAGCAGAGTGCGTGGAGGGGAGTAGAGTGAGTTGAGAGGTAAGAGAGTGCGTGGAGGGGAGTAGAGTGAGATGAGAGGGAGGAGATTGCGTGGAGGGGAGTAGAGTGAGGTGAGGGGGGAGAGGTAGGAGAGTGCATGGAGGGGGGTAGAGAAAGATGAGAGGGAAGAGAGCGCATGTGTGTGTGGGGGGGGAGGGGAAGGAGGGAGAGAGATGAGATGCAGGCCGGGGCGAGTCCGTGGAGGGTTTTGAAGACGGCGAGTGGACAGCAGCAAGGCAGAGCGACGGTGCGGGGAGACTGGCGGTGGAGAGAGTGGATGCTCCGAGCATGCAGATGAGGCCCTGTAACACCCCCCCCCCCCCCCCCACCGCGATGAGTTGATGAATTGTCACGATTCGGGGCGTCACGATCCGCTTAAGAATCGATGACTCCGCGGCGCACGTGGAATATACCCAGGCCTCGCGGGCTTCCCGTGCACACATCGCATGTAACGATGTGTTCACGGTCGTCACCGTCGTCATCGGCCGTGATCAAATGCGCTGCTGGATGAGGGCCTCCCTGAGCCTTCGCCCATTCCCTTATTAGAGCCCTGTCACGGACGCTCCACTTGGCACCTGCGTGCGTGCGCACGCGCGAGCCGATTGCCACCGCTCCGTCTCCGCGGCGGTGGTCGTGACCCACCGGACACCGTTAATCCGAATTTGCACGGAGCGCTTTCTTTACAAACGCGCGTGACTCGCGAGCGCGTGGAACTCGAACAGATTGTTTGGTGATGACGCTGCTGCTGCTGCTGCGTCGGCAGCGGTGCATGACTCCGCACACTCGTCAATGCGCTGTCGGCTTAAAGGGAAAACGAACGTTCACGTCAAATCGGCAAATGAGCGCCTTCATCAAGGCGCGGTTCGTCCACGAGGGGCGTTAGGGCACCACCCCACAAAGCAGCTGGTGATGAGAAAAATATTTTCTGATAAAAAAATATACTTTTCTATAGATTGCTCTGTTGTGTTTTAAAATAATTTAAACGTAATGATTCTTTCGACGTGAATTGCCGAATTAAGATAACATTTTACGTTCGTATTAGAAACCGCTGCAACACCGCAGTCTGACTCGGGGCTGCTATGAAGGCGTCCGAGTGAGAGATTTCCCTTGTTCAGTCACTGAGATCAGATTTTAGCATTTTGGCCACGCCGTTTGAGACCCATTGAGGGCGATGGTGAAAAAGGCGCCCGTGGCTGTAATGAGACGATGTCACAACGTGAGGTCGCGCTGGGGAAATACAGCAGCTCACGGTCTACACGCTCTAGGCTTTTGGCAGCGTCAAAGGGCTTGTGTGTAGTGTGGACTTTGAGGGTCATTGGGATATAATTTGAGTACTTTGTTGTTTTTGTTTCGTATTGTTTATAAAATGCCTACCGTTGGTGGATAAGACAATTGTATCACTTTCACGGGAAGGCCAATAAAACGACGAGGTTTTTCTTAATTAGAACACCGTCTTTTCAGAGTCACTCACAACAGCCCCACCTAGTGGAAGTGTCACGAGTCGCCACTGCCTTCTTCATAGCGCAAGCGTGAGAATGGATTTGGGCTGGGCTGGAATTCGATTCTTATTCCGGCGATCATCAGTTAGATTACCTGCCTGATTGCTCGACGTGTTCCCACGAAAGGAGTGACTGCGTGCTTTAGTAGTAGATGCTTCCAAAGAGAGGTGCGCACAACGAGAAATTGCGTAGCGTGGACCGCAAGGCCACTCAACCCACAATGCACCGCACTAGGAGACGGCTGCCTGCCAGTACACACACAGGGCACACACAGTACACACCACAATGTTGTTCTACGTCCGACGGCATAGCCCCGTGTAGAGTGAATTCAAACCGTCATGGAGCAAATTTCGGGTGGAAATAGTGTTTAGCGCCATGCATGCAAAATCGCACGAACCGAACCTGCATAAAGCGAGGCAAGGCTGGCAATAGAAGTATCACGTCTGTTCGCACGTGTGCCGCTGAACGGGAGGTGATGGGCGACCTCGTCGGCATCGTCTGTCACGGCACGCTGAGCGTGGCTTGTCCAGCTCTGAGTAACCGACTGCAAAACAAAAGGAGCCGTAACAATTTTAGTCGATTCGTCTCCGCGTAATCGACCGATCGTCCCGGCTCTAGTCGATGTTACGTGACTTCGAAGTATGGTCCTGGAACTGTGGATCCAAGAAATCCACACTCCCCAGTCTCCTCTGCTGCCCTCTCCCCAGCTGCCTCCCTGCCAGTGTGCAGTCAATTTATGCTCGGTGACACCTCGCGTGGAACAGTCAATATGGTTCCAGTGACACCCAACACACGTAGATACAAAGATCCCCCGTATAGCCTCAACAGACTGTTGAGACAAGTGTAAGTGAGCACCTATGAAGGCTGGCATGGCGGAAGAAGTGGTGGGTGGCCAACACCACCCCCGGGCCGCCTTTGTCTCTCTCGTTGTGATGTTTCCGCACCGCACCAGGTACCAATTTTAGGCTGAGACGACCGAGGGGTGGTCTGGGACTGGTTTAGATAAGTCACTGGTGTTGGCCATGAGCGGGAATCAAACTCGGGCCACCGTGTTTGCAGCACGGTGTGCTAACCGCGACACGACCGCTCCCCAACACACACACAAGCCGCGCGCACACAAATACACGCACACGCCCGCGCACTAGACGGAATATAAATTCCGCTCGAGTTGAGCGTGGGGACGGCGTTTGTTGCGATTGAATTGACTAGAGCTCGACGCTCTCTCCACTCGGCTCCACTCAGCACCGCAGCTAAGGGTGACTTACACGGGATCAGCATTTTCGGGCTAGGGGATAGATTTAGTGGCGGGGTTGGGGCAAGAGTTGGGGGTCAATGGTAAATTCACCGCAGGAGCAGTATCTATAGGGTTGGATTTAAGGCTGGGACTAGGAGAGAGGGTTGTTGGCTGTAGGGGTGAGGCGCCGAGTTAGAGTTAGGGGCAGAATCATGGTCGGGTATTGTCTCGACAGTGAGTGCTAGGGGGCAGCATTAGGGGTAAGAATTTAGGGCTAGTATTTTGGCTATGAGTTATCGCCGACAATTTAGGGGCTATGACTGGGGTAGGATTTAGTGGTGAGATTTAGGGTCGGAGTTGAGGGTACAGCCGGTGTTTTCGCTACGTGCTCAGGTTAGCGCAAAGGATATTTTTACGGCTAGCAGTTCAATTTAGAGTTACAGTTAGGGGTAAGGTTGTGGGTATAAAGATGCTATGTTTACTGTCAGAGTTATGAATAGGACTAGGGTTATGGCTAGGTGCTAGGGTTAGGGTTATAGACATTAACTATTTTCCGGCTTGCTGATAGAACATACGTATAGGCACGTGCCTCACAGCCATAGAGGTGTACCGGATGTGGTGTGCCGAAGGATGGGTGTTGAAATATTCTCCTGGTCGCCTACCTGGCAGAACCTAAGCCCCCTGGTTCCTTGTCAATGATGGAGCTAAGGTTATAATTGCTCGGCTTAGGGTTGGAATTAGAGACAGAGTTGGTCTGAGGCTCAACTCGTAAGCCGTGGTCGGTACTCGTGTAAACCGACATTTCAGTTGCATTCTTCGTCATTGCGTTGCGCGCAGTTGTGCATTAAAGCAGCACGAAGATACCGCAAAGCTCTTTGCCAATCCACTGCTGGATGAAGGCATTCCCCGCATCGTGTTGGTCAC